CAAAGAACACCCCTTGAAAAGCCAGAAAAACAGAACTCATTTCAAAATCAATAAGTTAATTTTCCTTCTTTTTTCATTCACTATTTACGTGACAATTTTAATGGCGGACTTCCGGCCTATTAAATCAATAATATTACTTGTAAACACCATTAAACTCTCGTTTCTTATAAATTGTACTTCCTCCTACAAATATGTATCTAAATATTATAGGGTGAAAGAAATATCTTTCAGTTATTAGTCAATTCCCCTGGTTTAAATTTAAGATGCGTGGCCTTCTTGGTCGCGCTTAATCGATTTTTTCAGGAGCACCAAAGCCAAAGTTAAAACCACCCACTCATCCTTAGCCCGAAAGCACCAAGGGGATTCGTAAAACATATATATATATACATATATAAGTAAAAACAACTGAAGAGACAGGAAAACTCCCAGAAAATAAGGGGAGGGAAGTCTGAAAATTTGGTACGGGTAAGTTGGGTTAAGGTGGAAAGTTTGAAAAATCCAAACAATAAACGAATTCCTTTAGCTGAACGTCTGACCTTTTTCTATTCAAACAGAAATTTTAATAACATTCTTGACTTACTGCATTAATAATGTAAAAAAATTTTGGAATCATTAGTTATTTTCTTGGAAAAGGTTACAAACCTTTAAAGACAATTTAAAAAATAAGATAAATGTTTTTAAAGTCAAAACAAATTTGATATACTTTATATGCATTATTAAAGATATCCTTTAAAGGCAATTTAAAGGAAAATATATTTTTTTTGTTGTGCTATAGGAAATTTTGATATAATCTATACGGATTATTTAAGATATCTTCTCTGGCAATAAAACAGGCTGATGTTATGCATCCATTGACTAACAAATTTTAAAATATGCTATAAGAAAATTATATATAAGTCTTCCTATCGAGAAACTTGGAAATCTTCCCTGTTTGGTGCTATCGTAATCGCCATCGCAATCGCTCTTGAATCGTTTGCAGACTTTGATTCATTGTTCTCGATGGCTGTTGCTGTTGCAGCTGGGCTTTTGTTTTACTTGTCAACAGAGAGTTTAGTTTGGTGCATCGGCTTAGGTTTAGGTACTACAAAAGCCCCCTTTTTCCACCGCACCACCCCACCAACACCCCTGGCCCATCCAAAAACAACAATGCTGCGGACGCTGCATGCAACTATTGAAGCATGAACATGCAATTTATGTACCTATATGTGCATATATATACCTACGAACTATGAAATACAGCAACAACAGCAATAAGCGACTGTACTTTTGATATAAAATCCACTTCACTCCACACTCCATACATGGAAAACCAAACAAACACACACGCACATACAGTTCAGTTCAGATATACCTATATAGCACCGAAAACCAAACCCACCCCACTCCCTTCCACCACCCACTTTTAGAGACACCCACTTGGAGTGGAAAGCTCTGTTTAGTTTTAGTTGCGCTTTAAACTGCATTTCGGCTTGCGATGCTTTGTTGTTGTAAGCTGTATATAGGAGGATTGCATGGGTATGGAAAAGGGGGGGTCAGATTGTGCAGCAAACGAAATAGAAAACAACTGCAATATGTTTCGGGGTTCCATGGAATGCAGATGGAATCGCCGGAAAACAGCCCCAGATGCATTGCAGGCAGCAGATTTGACCAAAAAACAGACATTACACCCAAAACATGCCACCCACCAATCCCAGTTGTCATCTATAAATCGTTACCTCCACAGCAGTGATATGTATTGGATAGAGAAAACTTTGAAGGGGCTGACGAACATCCAGCATTAAGCGAAAGTTTGTTGTAAAATTCGTTATTACGTTGAAATACATTATGGAAACGGGTTCTTAATTAATCAATCTATCGAGTTCTTAGAGTTTGTTTTTCTATAGCCCAAGTGTTTCCCAAAGATAAAGGTTTTTTTTACAAAATATTATTGGAAAATAATAATAAATTAGATAATATATAGTTTACAATTTTGGTTTTTGTTCGTCATGCAGTAAAAACCAAAACTTTTCATATATTATGGATATAGGAAATAGTTTGTTTAAGTAGTAAAGATCCGAATTTTAAGGCATTTTCAAACGCCATGTATTAAAGGAAGACTTGTTTGTTTATGCTTTATAAACCCAAAAAAATGTTCTTGAACTTTTGACCCCTCTAACCCAAATTAGAGGAAATCTTTCCTATCGATAAGAAGTCAAAAGGGAAGGGTGGAAAATAAAGTACGGGGAGAAAAGAGGAAGAGAGCTGTAGCTGTCGACTTTTGTTGCTCCACTTGCACAAACAAAAACGCACGAAAAGACGAATGGAGTATTTCGGCTATCGAGCTGCTCCCCCAAACTCACACAAACACACACTCGAACTCACCTGCAAACTCAGGTAAATCGACGTCTGTGTGTGCGGGTGAGTGGTACCTGTGTGAAGCTGACACGGCAACAAACAAAAACGTAACGCTAAAGCTACAGCGGTAAATCTAGAACTGGGCAATCTAGTTCCAAGCCAGAAGGTGTTATATTCTTACGATTAATAATATTTATTTTAATAACAACTTAGTTAGGTATGTAAAACAAGTGTTAACCCTTGGATACGGTAGAACTAATTTGTTTAAATTGGTTTCGTTTAACAGGTCTATAATATCTATACTATAAAACATATAGGTGTAATACCATTTTTAAGACATTACAATTTTGTTTTCTATTTTTATTTAATGTTGTCTATTGTCGTCAAAGCAGTCAAAATATTTGAATTGATCAACAATACATTTATACGTAAAGGACAATAAAGAATTCCAATTTACCTTTATGCTAAATGGCTAAAAATACATTTAAAGTAAGGCCAGGACACATTTATCTCTAATTGATTGAAGGGAATTTCTTTTCTTTCAGCCTTGAAAAGTTTATAGAAATGGAGCAATCAATGAATCACCCAATCAAATTAGATTTTATTGAATTTATTTTAGTTACAAATCTACATATATATACATATGTACATATGTAAGACCTTGAAGTGATTCCAAGTCATTGTTTCTAAGAAAAGTTTTCTACAAATTTCAGCTGATAAGCAAGCTTTTCTCAGAAATAAAAAATCTTGATAGCCTAATTTATCGCCGTCTTATTAAAATTGTATTATTTACTAACTACATAAATTATTTTTATAAAATTTTTCTACCCAAGGAAAATTATTTTTAACTACTTTTATTTATCCATTTTGATTGATTTCGGAAAGTGTTGCTAAATAGACTTCTAGATAGTTTGATTATTCCACTAAACTCAATAATTTTTTCGGAACCCTCCCGGAAACTTTTGAATTGACCTGATCCGCTGTGAACTAGTTCAAATCTTGGTTTACCCCACTTTGCACCCCCAAAACAACAACAATTGCAATTACAGAAACATCAACTGCATTACGACAACAAGAACAACAAGAGCTAGAAATGCGGGTCTCGGTCGTAAAATCGAGACCAAAAAGAGAGAAGAGAAGAGGCGAGGCGAAGAGAAGTGCAAAGAGGAGGAGGTGGATGATGGGGAGACTCGACGAGACGTCGAGAATGCAGTGCACATAAAGAATGCCAAAATAAGTTTAAAACTAACGACGAACCGGGTTTTAGTGCGTACATGTGCTTGTTCTGTCTGTGTGTGTGTTTGTGTGGGAGCGAGACAGCCAGCAAGGTGGTTTTTTGTATGTCTGCATGTTTGTATTTTGGGGCATGCAACTTTGCCGAAAAATGCGTGCGAAGGGGGGATGAGAGAAAGGGGCGGGGAAGAAGGCCCCCAAAAAATAAGAGAGTACCGAAATGGGAGAGAGAGTTCCCGAAACAAGTGCAATTCTATATGCGTGTGTGTGTGGGGGATAATTTTCGAGAAATTAACAAGTGTTGAAAAGCGCAAAAAGTGCGTGCGGGTAATTAGCAAAATTAAATAATGCGAAAATCACAAAAGAAAACTTGAAAAGTTCATTAACACAGTTAAAATGAAACAGCGCCAACAACTCATTCATAATCGAAAAAAGTGTGTATAGATAACGGAACGGAAAAAGCGAGCAGCAGCGACAACCCCTTCCGAAAAAAAAAGAAAAACCGTGGCAACCCAGTCAAGCGGCAAAGGCAACAAAAAAGTAGCAGCTGAAACAAGCGCCTAAGCATGGCGTCACAACAACAACAACATATAAGAGCTGTAAAAATTGTCAATATAGAAGAAAGAAAGGCAGCAACAAGAACAAAAACATGAAGACGAAGAAGAAGAAGAAGCAGGCTTTTGAGCTTTGCGAAATAATGCGCGAGAGTTAAAGAAGAAGCCGCCAACGCCGACTGCGACGCCGGCAGAGCATTTTTAACGAGCCGAATGACAAGCGCACACAAACAGAAACACCAACACACACAGGCACTTATGCAGATGCACACAGTCGAGGGTGGGACAATAGCAGCAAGAAGTTCAGAGGTAAATTTGTGTCATGAGTGAAGAAAATAACGTGTTAAAGTCAAATCTTTATATTATATTTAAAACTTAAATAAACACCTCTTTGATAACATATTTTTAAAATTAATATTTTACTATTTAGTTACTTAGGAATAATGTTACAAAAACGAATTGCCATTTGTTTTAGTGAAAATACATAAAGAAACTGAGTAAACACCTGTAAAAACCCCCAGTTGCTGTCTTTTATGGTCGCTTTGATAAAGCTATCAATCAAAAAAGCCATTCAAGGAGTGGATGGCTTTCTTAATTGCCACTATTGCATTGACCCCGATTGTCCAAGCACACACACACACAGATGGGCCGACATGCATACGAGACGCCGCAGCAGCAGACCGGTTGAGGTTAAATTGGATAGTGGCAGAGAGAGAGAGAGCTAGCGAGCCAACGGGAGAGGAGAGGGAGCGGGAGAGAGCGATTGGAGATGGAGCATACATATACATATTGAATTTTTCTTCTTTGGCGTAATGAAAATTTTTTAGCACTGTTTTGGGGCACGTAGAAAACGAAGAAGAGAAAGAAAAGAAAACTTACCCGCGTGTGAAAATCCGTTAGTCGGTGGCGCCTCTGCCTCTGCCGCTGCACTGCTGTTGCTGCTGCGGAACTCCTCCTTTCGATTTTCCCAATTTCGCATGCACACAAAACTATATGGATTTCACTTAATTAAATACACTGCTTATGTACACCTTATGTGCACCTATTCGTTGGTATGTATATGTATATACGCCTCACCAACACACTTGCAGCACGCGCTCTGCTGACGTCGACGCCGCTGCTTTTGCCGCGACCTTTCCGAAATATTTTACACGCACTGCAGAATATATATTTTCTTGTTTTATATATCTTTTAATATTTTTTGTTTGTCTTTGCTTTGCTGTAAACCCTTTACTCGCAATTTGTTTACTATTTCAAAGAGAGAGTGACACACAAACACACTGAAACGCCGCTTTAAGCACTCGTGTGCGGCACAATATTATCCACTCCGATTTGTTTGTAAATAGATAACGTATTGTATTATTTTGTATCGCCCGAATCCACAGATTACTGCTGCAACTCGATTCAATTTAACTGTGCTTTTCGCCGCTCCGCTCACGCACACTCACTCACTCACACAGACGATACCGCGAAGCACGTCCGAACGATCCGAGAGATGAAAAAGTAAAAAAGTGTTTGTTTTGTTTTGGGTCCTAGAGCGGGCACCCCGGCCGATTCTTATCGATACTATCGATTACAATGTAAAAAAGTGTTTGTTTTGTTTAGCAACCTAGAGCTGGCACACCAACCGATGTTTTATCGATCCTATCGGGTGACTTTTGGCGATTGTCCGCGTTGCCGGCTCACTTCTGGGCCGCTTTCAGTAAACTTTGGTGTCAGCAAACCTAGAGTAAACAAAAGAGACAGATGAAAAATTCTGTAGTTCAAAATCCTGGAGCTTGCACACCAAACGAAGCTTATTCGATACTATCGGTGTGGCTTCTGGCGATTAGGATTTTGCTTTAGCGCATGTGTGGTCACATCGCAAATTTGATTGATAGTGACACTATCGATAGCATCGAAATAAACCAATTTGGTAATGTATGGGGTATTCAAGTAGCTAGATCAAAAAGGAAACTCAATCAGAAATTTAAAAAAAGTTTCGAATTTATTACAATTTTTTAAATCATGATTTGTTAAACTCCATGATTCATCATGATTTGTACAAATAAAATAACATCCAAAAACTTATCAAAGTGGGTAGGACATACAATTTAAACCTTGTTCAGTTGTACAAAGTTTTCGGACTGATGTTTGATGTACGATTTTCGGCAATCCATGTCATCGGCAGGACGATTGTGTGGGGTCCACACTGGCTCACCAACAAAATAGCGACGAGCTCTGATAAAGTTCTATAATAGAAGAAGTAAATATTTAATCTATGGAAAGCCCTGCGCAGTGCAAAAATTTACATTTGAATCCAAAGTAAAGCGATGATAGATGCCAGCGGGTATTATAATCAGATCTCCCTTAACCACCAGAATGCGTAGCCAGTTCTCCTCGTTGCTGAAATTACATTTAAGGAATGGATTTTGTCGTATTAATTCGTTATAAACTATAATATTGTGATTTCTAATTCTAATTTTTTATTATTGGTCCCTTGATCAAAATTTTTGAAGGCCCTACAAAGTAAATGGAAAAAATTAAAGCCGGCACTCACTCGCGAACATCGAAATAACCGGATCCATCCAAAACAAGGCGTATTTCCTCATCAGTGTGCAGGTGTTCGGTGAAGAAGGCTTTCAATTTGTTGGCATAGTCAGGGAGGCACTTTTCCGAGCAGGTGATCTGTAATAAATCTTGGTTTTATAAAGGTTCTATGGTCATTCAGTATGGGAACATCGATCTTGCCTCATCATCGTATGTATAACCACGTTGTGCCCTCAGTTCCGTGAGAGTATTATCGCTCTGGTATTCGTCGGCGTTGATCTGCAAAAATGAATAATCAAGATAAGCTCGCACCCAAGGTTATCAAAGGTTTAAAGTCGTAGTTTCACTTGCTTTAAAGTATTCCACGCCTGTCTTTTTGTAAAGATCTCCCAGTTCCAAGTAGGCTGGTGGATTGCGATGGTGCTCCAAACGCTGATCGGTTTCCTCCGTATCCATATACCACACCTGCACCATTTTGCACAGTTTACTTGTTAGGTTCACGAGCAACTAGCAACAAATAGATTAGAAAAATATTAAACTGCCATCAGCTGTTTGTTGATTTCGAACTTTCGAACAAGATAACAGAGTCGCAGATGAATACCACTAATGCTGTTAACTTAACATTCGAACAGGGATAACATATTTTAAGACGAATGTCGCTAATTTTGAATATATTCAAATAAAACGTTTTTTTAAACTAGAAATTTTTGTTTTATCAAATTGAAACAAACTAGAGCCTTGTAGAATTCAACTGTATGTTTCAATCAAATGTTATAAAACAATGGTTAAAAAATGAGAAATTAAATCGAGCAGAATTTGGGATCTAAAAAAAAAATATAAAATGGATGGAATTTTGGGACATCCCCGTATTCCGTCTCCTCATTTTTTAAAGCTTCTTTATCTTCTTAAGAGCAACAGAGTAAATGGAAAGTCATATTAGTTTTTCAATATTATCTTTTAATTTTTGTTTGATAGGTATAAAATTGTTGGGCAGTTTTAATTGCATGTTTTGACTGATTAATGAAATATGAATGTTGTATATGCGGCTGGCAAAGTTCTTAATATTGCCTCTGCTCTCTGGCATAACAATTGTTACAATCTAATTTTGTGGCTTAGTTTGTGTAGTCAACTGACAGTAAGGTACTAATTATAATTTAGTACATGAAAATGCGTAGTTCCTTGTTTTATGTTACATTTATTAGCGTTACAAAGGAGCACTGTATTACGCAGTCAGTTTGGCCAATTCCTCCCGAAGTTCGGCGGTATCAATGTTTCCCTTCGATTGGGAATGCGACTGGGTTTGGGACTGGGCCAAGAGTCGGGCACAGTTCTTCTTGTGCATGAACCAATGAAGCCGCTGGCACTCCCGATCGCAATACTGCACCGCCTTGCACTTGGAGCACTTCTTGTCTGGCTTCTCCGCTCCGCAGGTGCTGCAGTAGCTGCCCTCGTCCTGCAAGATACATTTCAAGATTAGAATTTAGAATTTCAAAAACGCGTTTAAAATCTATTCAACCCACCACAAATCCCCTCATTCCATTGATGGCATTCCGCAGGATCGTAAGAGCTGGTGGCGCATCCTTGGCGCCAAATTGCGTGGCGATTTGCCGAAAGATGGTGCACTCCCGGACGGGAAACTCCCTGGCACACTCCCTCAGCGTGTATTCCACATAGTCCAGTTGGCCCAGCTTGTTCTCCTTGAGCACCCGCTTCACGAACATCTCAATAAAGTCATTCTTATTGGCATCGCCGGCCTCTTCGCCGCTCTTCTCCTTGTGCTGGGCCTTGAACTGCTCCTCGCAGCGTATCAATTCAGCCAAAATCCAACCCTGATAATGGAACTTGAAGGCCAACAGTTCATTGAGGTCATGGGTTTTCTGCATTTCCTTTTCACACATCAGTGACAATGTTTTGCGTAGGTTGGAGAGGATTCTAAGTAGCCCCAACGACTGGACATTCAGGGCAATCCTCACGGGATGCAGGTTGATTTCGGTTACAAAGGCATGGAAGGATTTGAGTAAACTTGGCGGTATTTGCGGCTCCGTTTGCTGGCCATGCACTTGGGTGTAGTACTCCAAACTGGATTGCGTCACATAGTTGTTAATGGTCTCCACACAGGCGTGGTTGCCCACAAAGGCAGCCATTTGGGAGGCGGTCCTGTTGACGCTATTGATGCTGCCTGGTTTGATTCCCGCATCCAAGAGTTGCCGGCACACGTGTGCATTACCAGATAATGCAGCAAAATGCAGAGGCGTATAGTCAGCTCCGTGTTGGTTGAGGTTGATGTCGGCACCCTGTGAAGGAGGATGGGAAAAGGAGTTATTAGGGGTTCTGTAATACGTTGACCTAGCAATATTTTTAAAATCCTTACTGAAAGATCGTTTGGTTACCCTTATGGTACATCCCTGTTGTATCATGACCGTTTATAGATCCATTATTTACTATCATGACCGTTTATAGATCAATTATTTACTATATCAATGAATAAAATGTAAATCGAACATATTCTATCTGTAGGAACATCAATGATTCTACGAGTTATACAATAGATAATCTTGGCATTGACAGTTATGAATATGAAAACATATAGATAGTAATAACATATCTGGGAGTCTGAGATCCATTAAGGAACACGTAGTTCTTATTATAAATCAAGATCTTATATGACTTAATAACTTTATGGCTAAATACGGAATTATCTAAGCCCTTAGCTTAAATAGGTCAAAATAGGTACTTAGCACCAGGTATACCCATCGTTTCCAGAACAAATGACTTCTGGACCCTATGGTTTAACATAGATCGACTCAGTACACAATTGGTTAGGAAATTTAGTCCGAGATATAACCACCTGTGGCTCCATTATTACATAGATAGCCCTACTAGGGTCTAAGTACCAGGTATACCCACCATATCCAGGAGCACCTGAACCGCCTCGCGATTTCCCTTGAAGCTGGCATGGGCCAAACACGACATCCCACTGTCGTCGACGAAATTCACATTTTTCACGCCGACCAACAGCTGCTTAAAGCCACTGGTGTCATTCTTGGCTAGGCGATCTAGGAGCTGTCGTTGCACGTCGTCCAGCTGCGAGTTCTTGCACTCCTCGGTCATTGTAGGTCGCTTTTTTAGGGGATATATTCAAGAGTTCTCCGGAAAGTGGTAATCAAGAAAAACTCCACTGTTTTCGGCGTGCACGAGTTTACAGCGATAGTTGCGGCGTTGTGCAACACTGTTTAAGGGGTGCGATATTTGTATTAAGGGGATTCACACCAAATAGTTTAAAATAAAACAATAATTATTTCTACATTCTGGGCGCAATCAGTTATACTTAATTTAACAATAAATACATAATTATACATAATATGGCAATAATTTTATTTTTAAGACTTTTTGGCATTTCAAAAAGCATATTAATTTTACGTAATTTTTTGGAGGGTTGATAATAAAACGACTTGTAATCAATAAGTAGTTACTTTTTCTATTTTGCTTTGCGTGGGTAAGTATTCAGTATTTCCGGTTTTTATATTTTATATAGTCAAAATATATATTCAAAAATTCAAGTTCTTTTATGGGCGCCTATATAATTGGCAACAGCGCAATTGTGAGCAACGTATATTTTAGTATGTTTTGGGAGCACCCTGTTATTTATTTCACATTCCCACCACGGTCACTCTGTTGTTTTGTTGTTGTTGTGGGCGGCGTGTGTATCGCATTCGCATCGAACGGAATCAAAATCGGGTGTGTTTTTCAAACATAAATACAAGCATTTAATCCCGCGAGGTGCCAACAGTGATTGAGGCGCCATTGCGCTTCCGCCAATTAATACAAATTTTAATCGAAACCCAACAAAGTGGAAAAAGGTGATAAGCGTGCAGAAAAAAAAGGAGGAATGAGAAGAAATTCCAATGCAGACGCAGACGAAACCCTTTTGCATTGGAAATTGTATAAATAATAAAAGTGAAGATAAGCGCGCAAAATAGCGAAGCAGGCACGAAAAGGAAAGCGAAAGAGCGAGATAAGGAAAAGCCAGATAAACAAAAGCCACACACACACATGGCCACAATTCTTCAATAAAAACAAGTCGGTTTTTGTTGCTCTTTTTATTTTCGCAATCTGTGTGTTTACATGTGCCGCCTGAGCAGGAAAATGGCCTTTTCCTACTTAGCACGATGTGTGAAAATTGGCCTTGCCGTTTTTCCGTTTTTTTTTTGTTTACCAATTTCGATTTGTTTCGATTTCGCAGCGTTTCCTGCGAAAACACACACAAACACACGTTTGCTCTCACCGCACACATGGCTGTTTTCTTCTCCTTTCCATCCTCCTTCTCTCCTTCGCTCTCCTCTTCACCCCCCGCAGTGCAATTTCAGAGGTCGAAAGTAAAACAGTAAACATTGGATACGGGAGAAACGAGCGCGGAAAATGGAAAATCTTCCTTCGATTTTTTGTATTCTTCGCAAAAGAAATTGCTAAACCTCAATAAATTTGGAAATAACAAATTTTTAAAATTAAAACCACAACTAAAAAAATTAAAATGAAAAATTGACATAGACCCAAAAAATGGCTTTAAATCTTTTTAGATTTTGGGTACTCCAAACCTTTCGAAACTTTTTTATAGATCTGTAAAAACCATATTAAGAATATATTTTATTTTATTTAGCTATAAACTCATACATAAAATCGTGAAATCTTCATAAACCTTAATATTTCTTAAAAGTCAGCCTGCTATGTTATATTTTCCTTGAACCCAACCCATCTGTGTTATTTTTCCTTCCCTAAAGGGGGCTGAAAACGCAGAAAGGCCAGGTTTTCGTTTCCTTCGCTTTTCCCACCCTTGAGATTGCCGTTTTCCATTGTCCTCCAAAAGATGAAACAAGTTCCTGAATGCAGCTTCCCGCACCATCGACCTCCAAAAACTATCCCTATCAACTTTTGCAGCTGCTTCTTGGGGAACCAGAAAATTTATTAAGTCCTTTTGTGACAACAGGTGCAACAGTTGCTCATATACAAATTCTTTTCTGTATTCCCATTCCCCTGCAGTGCTTCAAAAAGAAAAATAACCAAAAGTGCTAATTAATAACACACACACATAAAAAAAGGAAAACAAATACCAAGGAATCCATAACACAACAATAAGTATTAGTTAATCAAAGAAAATGGGAAAGCTGCTGAGCCTGCTGTCACGCGACGACTCAAATTGTTGCGCCGCCAAATCCTACGATGTCTTCCTGGACTTCGAGAATGCCGCGCCCACGGAAACGGAGCGAGAGGTTTACGACGAGGTGGAGCGAGTTCTACGGGAATCGGAGGTGGTTCTAGAGGAGATACAGATCTATCGGGTGAGTCTCGACTGCAATGTGCGTCATTTGCCATGGGTTTAACCGCAACCCCTCCAACCGGTTATTAGGCATTTACTATTAGATGATAATCGATATTTTAAGTTACAGAATAGTTTATAAAAAATCGTTACTTAAAGATTTTTAAAAATATTTTTCTTGTTGTAAAATATGAATATAAACATAGAATATAATAAAAACTTACTCATTCTATTGATTATAAAATTTTAAGTGCCTAAAATATCAGTTTCAAGTTAAAGATCTTAACTTTTTTTAAACCAACATTGTTTATAATTTATGTACGCCACTTGTGAGCCTCTTCAAAGTTGTTTAATTCTTTGTGGGCTTCCCAAGGCAGGAAAGTGTAAAACTGATAATTTCAACAGCTTGCTAAAAATAACAACAATCGCCGGGAAATCGACAGCAACCAAAAGAGCAATAATAAACGAGCAACAAATTGAGTATTTAACCTTTGGCAGGGTGAGAAATGAGACGCATTGAGCGTTATCTGTCTGTCAATTTGTACTCTCTTTCAGTTGAACATGTATATCTAACCCCTTTGGTGTTTACACTATAGGGTATTTGTTTACTGGGAAATATCTATAATGTAAAATAATTTGAGTAAGAATTTCATTTAAATTTAATAAATATTTACATAGAGCGATGATTCAGACGAAGTAATGTCGTGCTGAGAATGGTTAACCAAATGTTCTGATAATCAGTCAGCAATGCTTTAGTCTTAAACATTTTATAAACATAGCTAGATTGTCATAAAGATACATTAAATTAGAATAGCAAACATAAATATTGTATTAACCACTTAAAATACCATTTTAGACTTTTAGGATCCATTTATAAAGTAGATATTTGTTCACAAATATTAATATAGCAATCACTTATAGCTAACAAATAAAAATAATAGCCTTTAAATAGTTGTAGAGCTCCCTGCAGCTGATAAGATTAACAGCCCTGAAAAAGAGCCATAAAGTTTGCCGCATCTTCAAGTGGCTCTTCCAAAACATATCTCCCCATGGGTCTCTTTAATGGTCTGACTCACGCACGTGCCTACATGATCCGATCCGGTGAGCGAACTTCTTTCATTATCGTCGCTCCACTGACGTCATTAACCAACTTTTGCCGTTGCTCTTCACACTCTGATATTTCTCCGCCTCTCTTCGGGAAGAATTAGTCACCCCATTCTTCGTTACTCACACAGAAAGCAAATATCTATGATGGATTTTGTGATTCTTCTCGTATTAAAAATACGAGATACACCTATAAAAAGAAATGTTCAACAAAATTTTACTATCAAAAAAAGGAAGACTGGTTAATACTCACATCAAACTGATAAGAAAATGTAATATAACCATTATTTTTATCTTTGTAGCTAAAAAAAATGCTAGTTGTATGTGAAATTGATAAGGAGCTTTTAGCTGAAAATATTTCTAGAAACGCATTAACATAGATTATTAAAAAAGATCACAAACCAACCCATATTGAAGACATTTATAAATACAAAGCATAATAGATTTTGAAAATGGGTGTTGGAATATACCTGTTACAAACATTTAAAGACTAAAAAGAACTTAAAATAGTTTTTTTCAGTACAAATTAAAACATTTTATATATTTACAAAGAAAACAAGAAGGTAAATTGATATTTTTTCTTGTGCATCTGACCTTTTGTCGACAAATTCTATTTCTCATTGGTGTGTGCAAAATATTAATTGGGTTTCAGACGCAAAAAGACAGCCAAAGCGGAAAAAGGGGGAAAATAAGGGGCGGCAGACAAACAAATGTCAGGCCGAAAAGCTTTAATCAACGCAAATGAACTGGAAAATGTATACCAATGAGCTCATTTCCCTTGTGTTGACCCACTTAAATGGGACCGAAAGCAACAAAGACGACCTCGTCGGGCATTTAACCCTTTGGTGCAACGTATCCCGTCCTTCTTTCATCTTTTTCTAGAGCCAACCAGAGGTATTTAAAATGCGCTTAATTTGCGGGCTGCATTTTATTTTCATTGCAGTTTTTATTCGACGGTGCGCCATCGTTTTCCCCCCCCCCCCAAAAATGAGTGAGTGGGTGGCTTTTGGGTTGGAACAACTGGTTGTCAAGGCAAACAAACTGGTTGTGGAGTAGGTGATTTCCCCTTACCTCTTGCCAAACAAAAATAGTTGGCCAGGCGCCAAAAGCTGGCAAAATGGCAAAAACTTCAGTTCTGTTTGGGTTTTTTTGTGCCTCTTCCTTCAAGTCGGTTGCTATAAATAGAAAGAAAATTGCAAAGAGGAAAAATCAAAGTGTTTTTCTTTTTCCCACTGGCATTTCTTGTTTCTTGAAGGTAAGTTAACGTTACTTTAAAAGTGCAACTTTGGACTTTTTTTTTTCAAAATGAAGTAGGTACTTGGGAATGGATTTTATTTTAAAAAATAATACCCAAAAATTAAAATAAATAGCTATATTTTACAATAAAAATACATATGTTGTTTAAATTACTAGTATTTTCAAACACTTTTTTGTCATTATAAAGTTTAAAAAAATATTTGATCGTATAAATCCCTAACTATTGTTCTCTTTTCATCGCGAGAAATCTTTGTATGGCTTTTCTCCAGTGGTAATAGGCTTTCATATCTGATTAATCAGCACTTTTTCGTGACGCTTTTGTCAAATATTGGCCCAGACTAGATACGGAATTAGAGGCGCCCATTGTGTTTGCGTAATAAACAAGCAACAAAAAGTTTAACAAAGGGCCGCAAATAATAATAATAGAAAATTTCCCTCAGCTTAGTGCAACAACAAACATTATAATAATCATGCTAACGCACTCACCTTATGAATGGAACCTCTAACAATAAACATAAAAGTACTATATACC